TGTTTTTATGCTTTTTTATCGGGGTTTCTCTTTTGCACTTAATTTTTTTTCCCACCAAAGTTTGAAAACATGCTAAAAATACCCCCAAAACCCAAACCTCTGCTTGGAGAGTATTGGGCAGCATCAAACTACATGTATAATATATACGTTACACTGTAACTTGACTAGATGTAGTATCATCAAGGAGCTTGGTATCATATTATGAAGGACATTACATCATTGACCATACATGTCACTAAGACAGCATTAGTTTGATTACGGGTTACTATTTCCCTATACATATGTATCTAAATAGAAAATAGAACATTTAATGTTTTTTTTTTTAATTCAAATTTTCAACCTTCTTGGCATTATGGATCATATATTTGTACATGTATTTTGTCATAAAACAGATTCATGAGTTGCATTTTATTTCATGTTTCTTTGACCCTCATCCTGTTTATGCTAAACAGAGTTGTCACTCCCTAGTTATTAATTAAAGGGAAAGGATAAAGTCATTTCTCACCACTCATTATCATCCCCCATCAGGCATATTTTACTTCCATAACTATCCTCATCAATTTGGTCCTGTGTTGAGGTGTTATCCAAAGTTATACTATTAGCCTACAAAAAGGGAAAGCAAGTTTTTTTTTTTTTTTACTGTAATATACTAATACATTGAAACACAATTCACTGTATTCAAGAGTTCATCAATCAAAGCAAGAAAAAGCATTGTGGATGTTTTAAAAAAGATCTACAACCTATTATATGTATGGCACTTACCAGGCTGATGTATCAGTAACTGACCCTGATAAAGGTAGTTTTGGAGTTACTGAAATGTCATGATGTGTAAATTGATACGTACCTACATGTATTTACCATGCGCATATGTATATTTGACATATGACATATGTATATTTGTTTCTGTCAATTTTTGTATTGTATTGTAGTACGCCGAAGCAGAGGAAATGGCAGCGGGTAGGATTGAGAGTCGCAGCATGCAATACTGGGGAACCAGAAGGAGTCCCAATGGAACCGCTTCACATGCTGATGTACAAGGAACTTAAGCTGGGCTTCTAGTAGTTTTCTTTGCCCCAGTAAGTTACATTAACTTTGAAAATTACCTGCACCAGACACATTTTACCTGTACCACTCACTGTCACCCAGAACATAGGAATTATATAGATTACACAGAAAACTGGAAATCATTGCCAGGATTTCTTTTGAACTTAAAAGTAATACAATGTGAAAGTCAATGCAGCAAATAAAAATCCACGTATGCCTACACTTTTATATAAAACTACTAGTAGTACCAGTGAGTGCAGGTTTGATGCAGGTGAATTGTGCACCGAACAGGAAATATTAAATGTACTGCCCTTCTATCTCGGTACCAGGTAAGGCACTGATATTTCAAATGGATTAATACTGCTACAGTTAAAATTCACTGTTCAATATAGCCTTGTATCCAGTATCCACTCAGTCAGGCTGGGCATACATGTAAGAATGAGCATGAATGTAAAAATTTTGAATCCAGTGATAATTTTAAGAATATCCAGAAACACAAACAGTTCTCAAACAGGTGGCATTGAGATTCTTACATGTACTGCATTCTAACAGCATTGAAAACAGCTCTGATCACATTCAGATTAGAATCAAATGGGCCCGAATATTTCGAATACACTATGAAATTTTCACAATATGCACTTTGAATAACATTCTGCCTGTCATGTGAAGGGCGAAGGGGGAGGGCAGACATACAGGTACAGTGCTGGTAGCTGTAAGTAACTGTTACATAAACAGGTTTGGCAAATAATCTATAAGTTATACATGTAGCCTGGTAGCAAACTGTCATTTTAGTGGTAAATCACTTATTTTGTATAATGAATCATTATCTAAAAATTAGAATACTAGTATACTCAAGTTTTCTTGATTATCAAATGCCTTCAATTATGTAAAAATTAGAATACTAATTTGCTAATTCTTCACACTTGTTGTGAATTTTGTTGCTAATTCTGAGCAACTGTAAATAGACATGTACATTCTATTTTTCTCCAGGGCCATGGAGGAGTACCGGGAGGACTTCGCCTTTGAGGAAAGCATTGAAAATGAAGCTGTGTGCCAAATAAGAAAGCAGATTTATGAGAAAAGAACAGTCAAAGTCATCAAGCACTTAAGCTTGCTTCAACAAGATTTCTGCACAAGACTTGCTCTCAGGGCAGTGAGAACAGAGGATAGCAGGCACCACTGTAACTAGTCAGCTATCTTGCCCAACTGGAAAGAAGGCTATTATTTAGTTTTAAAAAAAGTGTTGAGAAGATAACACGTCATTTGACATATGTAGGCATGTCAGCTGATTTTTAGGTAAAATGACCTGACCACTTTCTGGTAATGTTGATGGTATATTGTATATACAATACACATGTACTGTTTACCTAGCATACCACAAATGATGTGTAATTTGTAGAAAAGGTATTCTTGTATACTTTGATAATTATGGCTTCACCACAAAGTGGTGAAGACATATTGTGTTCCCTCATGTTTCTTCTTCTCCTTCTCCTCTTTCTCCTCCTGCCATTTCTTTAAATGGATTCATCTCTGCCATTTTCCGGCCAAATAACACGAAATTTGGCATGAAGGTAGAGTGGGCAAATACCCTGACGCGTTTTTTTCATTTTTTTGAAAAATTGTTTTATTTGGGTTTTTTGGCCATTTTTAGGCAAAAAATATACATTTTGAGATCTGGTTCCCAGGTACTAAAACCAAATGACCTGAAATTTGGTATGGGGATACCTTGGACATATGTCTACAAAAAGTCATTCAAGCTTTTGACATACACCACTTTATAATTGGGAAAAATAAGGCTTTTTGGCTATTTTCGGACCAAAAATGTACATTTTTGGCTCCTGTGCCCTAATATTAAATCTGAATGACCTGAAATTCGGTATGGGGATACCTTGGACACATGTCCAAAGAATGCCATTCACGATTTTGACATATACCACTTTAAAATTGTGTAAAATAGGGCTTTTTTGCTATTTTTGGACCAAAAATGTACATTTTTGGCTCCTGTGCCCTAATATTAAATCCGAATGACCTGAAATTTGGTATGGGGATACCTTGGACACATGTCCAAAGAATGTCATTCACGCTTTTGACATATACCACTTT